GCAGCTAGTGTTGGCTGTAGGAATCAACTGAGAGAAATGTCTTTTACCTAAAAGCTATATGTGAAAATCAATTCCTAGCCTTACATTTGCAGTCCTTGCTTGTATCACTATGTCTTCTGCTGGTCCTGATGTAGTCCCCGTTTCTAGAACTCTCTTTTAAGCATTTTTGAAAAAATATTTTTAGAGATGACTACTCAGGTTAACCTACTGTATGTAACCTTGGAACTTCCATGATTACGCACTCAAAGATCAAAGTATTATATGCTGTGTGCTTTTAGTTGTTACTGCTATAAAACCAAAAATGTTTTCTATGTTGGTGCTCCTGTTTTACTGGGCATCAATGAATATGTGCTTATGCTGGAAGGAGACTAACGTATTCTTACAGCATGTAAAGTGTTTGTGCAGGCTTGCTGAAAACCTTTCTGTATAAATCAGCTCATTAGGTTTAGGTTTTCTGTTGGGGTAAGGGCTCTGCAATTCCTTCTTCCTGTGAGTCTTCCTACCAAGATGGTATTTTACCGGTCTAGCTCAGCAGGAATAGGAGACAGCAAACAGCTACTGGTCATCTGTCTGCTTTGATTTAGTACACTGGCCTAGTACAATGTTTGATGGAACATTATTGACCAAAAAACATGGCTGTCACATCTCTAGAAAGAAGAAAAATAGTTCAGTTCCCAATGTGTACCTGAGAGTTTTTTCTGTTGTTGTTGTTTTTTAAGTAAAAAGAATCTGTACTGACTCTTCACTTGGCAATTCCGGTTTTGAAGGATGAGATATAGGCTATGCGTTTTCTTTACTGATGTGGCACTTATTAATTACTTTTGTACCATTAAAAAAAAAAGATTATCTCCCAACGGATGGGCAGCTTTCTTATCAAATGGGGGACCTCTGTCCTACAACTACAGGGGCTGAATTATGCCAATGACCTGAAAAACATGGAAGTAGATTCTTTCCCAGAGACTCCAGATGATAATACAGTGTGTATGACATCTTGATTTCAGCTTTATGAGACTGAGCAGAGAACCCAGTCATGACGCTGTGCCTAGACTACTAACCCAAAGAACTGTGAACTAATAAATAGGTGTCATGTTAAGCCACTAAGTTTATAGTAACAGAAAATTAACACACTACTCAACTCCCAGGTTCATGAACAAAATAAGTGATTATTATTATTTTAAGCCACTGTCTTGGATGGTTTTTTATGCAGCAATAAATAAACAGAATACATATATTTACTAAAACAAATATATTTTTATATTTTAAAGGCTTTTGAAAAATCACTTAAACAGGAATTTCAACTTAAAGTTGAGTTTACCCCTGGTGTGTGTTCAGGGGAGGAACCTGATGTGCCATCATCAGGAGAGGAAACTGGCACCACTTTTTGGAGAGCGAATTTTAGTGCATACCAATAATCCTACATCCAGGAATTTAAGGAAATCATCAACAACGTGCACAAAGATTTATCTGCCAACATGATGTCTTAGGACTGCTTATAACTTAACCCTAGAAGTAGGCTAAAAGCCTCCAAATTGGGATTGATTTAAATAAAAATAGCATATCCATATGAAGAAATGCTTTATGAAGCTACTAAAAAATGATAACAAGAGGTTTCAACTAAAGTTAATGAATGGGCTTCAGGAGTTCTATATTCAGAATATATCTGCACTTTTCTTGGGAGATCGTCTACTAGCTTAATCAGATTCTCTGATGTAAAAGAGTAGTGACATGACAAAATATTTTTGATACCTTTTTAAGACAAAAGGGCAAATTAGGTGTGTG